AATTCATTAAAAGATATTATTATAAAAAACCTAGCATGTTTAAATTCATAGAATTACTTCAGTCATGTGAAAAGTCTATATTATTAATTTTATGTAAATTTATTTTATTTTGCAAATAGTAAAAGAAAAGAAATGTTGATAAGCTTAGGTTATACATAAATGTAATGTTAAAAATGTTGTTATTATTTTCATAGATATTGTAAAATGTTTAGATTTCACTAGTAATTTTTATATTAAAATGAGATTATTCTGATATTAAAATAGAGATTATTCTGATATACATTTATTTTATACAAATAAATCATTTTTTTTCGCAGCAATATATGTTCATTCTCCAATATACTGTAAAACTTTTAATTATATAATGTGCTTAGCTATTTATTATATTTTATATGTATAGTGTAACAAGGTTAGTTTAACTGTATTGTATACGTTACGAAATAAAATTTCTGTTCTGTTTTGTTTTTGTTTTATTTTGTCCCTAAAAATGATTTAAAATTTGAAAGTTTTTTGAAGTACAAAACAGTTTTTTAAAAAAACAATTAATTTCCCTTTAAGGAAAATTCTCCCCAAAAAACTTCATCCCAAAGGGCACAGATTTTGAAATTTTTTTTGTTTTGTTTTAAAAAAAAACCCAAATCCCCAAAATTTTGGGAAAAGCATAAAAATTGACCTTTTATCTGCTTTAAAGTTTTAATTTTAATGTCATTAAATTTTCCCTCAACAAAAAAAAAAGCAGTTTAGAAAACTCTAAAAGGCCTTTTAAATATTAGATTTTGTCCTTACTTGAACCCCTTGGCCCTTTTTCCTCAAAAAAATGCTTTGCACTGTTGTGAACAACAATACCATCAGGACTAGCTCCTAAATATGAATAATCCTTATGAAGTATCAATCTATTTTTCTTGGATTTGAATTTTTTCTTTTAAATTTAAGTTTATTTATGGCTATGTCATGCTTCTTGGGCAACCCATTTTCCATTTTCTTTCCCCATTTTAAAGATGACACAAATTCATTATATTTATTGTTACCAGAGTTTCCAAGAATTCTTTCAATCAGTTTGTCAGGTAGTGTATTAATTGGATTTTCGTGTACTGATGTCATGAAATACAGATGCTGTTATTCGAGCCTTCCTTGATGTCAACCATAAATCATTGCCGCTCTGTCCTCTTGTTTGTTCTTCAATTTCATCAATGACATCTTGATAACAATCATCTAGACAAGATAAAGCTTCTTCCTGAGACATATTACTTTCTTTTACAGTTTGCATAATGTTTATGTATTTGTCACTTTGATGAGATATGAATAATGATGTTTCAACTGTCTCTTCTAGAGATACATTTAAGACACTTTCTGTTAGTATGGTATTGTCAATAGATGGCAATAAACTAAAATAAATTTGGCAGCATTTGTATGGTTAACTAACTTAACTAACCTGGAGCATAACTTAACCCTAAATTTACTTAAGTCGTGCTCATCGGGCAATACAACTTGTGGTTTTTACTGGAAGGGGGTTTTCCCCCACTCGTTAAATTTTAAATTTTTTTGAATGTAAAAATTTTTAATTTTTTTGGACTTGGGCCCAAAGTTTTCTCGGGGTTTATTCCAAAAACACATGGTTTTTGGGTGCCACATGCAAAATTCTGAATAGGACCCAAATACTGCATGGCAGTATGATTTGCCTCTAAGGCAAACTGAAGTCCGGCTACATCCTTCTCCCAGCCTGAAATGTATACATCATTTGAAATCAATTTGTTAAGTTAAACAGAGCTAGTAATCTAAAAATATAATGGAAGTGTAAAACTATTGAATTACTTATTCTATTAATTCCTGGTTATTCATTATGTGCTAACAGGGTTTTTTCAGCCTTTCTGTGCAGTTACAGGGCCGAATATCGGACTCATTCACAATGCAATTTAGCATAGTTTTTCCAAATTGCCAAAAAAAAATCCCAATTGAACCGCAGTTTAGAGATTACTTTTTGTGGAAACTGAGCCATTAAGTGGGCATAGTGTTACGGTAAATATGAATTTTTTAAAACACTACTCTCATATAAAAAAAGTGTTGAAAGATTGTGAGTTACTGTATTTAGTAACTAGGTATCCAAGGAAACTATATATGTATCTAAAATACTGAAATGAATAAATAAGTAGTTTGTTTCCCCCCCCCCCCCCCAGGTTTTTTCAGAGTATACAGGAAACAGTGGTAAATATAAGAAAAATGAGACATACCCTGCTAGACAAGAGCAGTTGGCCTGTAGAATGGAGTGTTCTCAGTAGTCAAAATCTATTGTAAATATACACCTTGTTTTATTGATGGCAATCATTTAGATTTAATATAGCAATGGTCATGTCTCAGAAATGTTGTTTATCATGACTTTATGAATGTACTTTTCCTTATAGAAATTCAAGCCCCGAATACATTGCCTATAACATTCCATTTTTAATGCATCTGAAGACCTGTGACTGCTGTTAATGAGATAATTTTCAATGTCAACAATAGTTACTTTTGGGAATAATGCACTATCACTTGACCAACCACACTTGAGATCTTCAAAAATTAGAATATTTCCAGTGTCTGACAAGACACAATGCACATTTTCATCAAAATTGTTTTTGCAATCGATGTTTGAAAAAGTCGACATTTGAAAGCTGTGTCATGTTTGTTTCCACTGACTTTTTGTTGATAACTACGTCAATAAGAAACAATTTCATCCTTTTTCAGGTTAAGAATATCTTCCAATGTTGTTTCCTTGGAAGTAAAAAACGATGACAAACTCATTGTATGTTTTTAAGCACTTTTAATTTTACCGCTGTAAAAACTTAAACCGGAAGTAAACTACACCTACCCACAAGGGAGACAACATAGTCAATTAGTTTTATTTGCAATATTTAGTAGACTTAATTAAAGCACATATGGCAAAAGAACACTCTGGTAATGATACTTACAAATGTGAAATATGTGACCATGTAACTTTGAGAAAAATAACCATGATATAAAGCAAAATGAAAGAACTGCAATATGATAAGAAGATTTTTAACTGTGATATATGTCATAAGTAATTTGCATATAGGAGTTATTTATAAAACATATGGCAGTTCACACCGGTGAGAAGATTTTTTAGTGTGATACATGTGATAGGTCATTTGTAGACAAAGGTAACCTTATAAAAAACATTAAAAAATACACATAAAAAACGTACATTACTTACAGAAATGTACCTACATATACAAAATCTGAATAATTATAGTTTGCCTTGTGTTTTAGATTTTAAGGTTGCGTAAAATATAGTTATATATATCTATGGGGGAACGGACAATAGCCCTCCCGTCCAAAAATGACAATGTTTGTTCAATATCTGCTATTTTCCAATGCACTCAACATATTAGGATTGTTACATAAGTATTTGTAGTTTTTAGCTCACCTGACCACGAGGTTAAGTAAAGGGGCTATTCCGGCGTCCGTCGTCCTCCGTCGTGCGTCGTTCGTCGTCAACAATTGGGTTGTTAATAGTCTAGCAGTCACAGTTTTGATTGGATCATTGTCAAACTTTGTCAGAATGTTTGTCTCAATGAAATACAGATCTAGTTTGAAGATGGGTTATCTCGAGTCAAAAACTAGGTCACAGGAGCTAAAAAGAGTAAAAGCTTGTTAACATTCTTGTGGCTGCAGTTTTGATTAAAATATTCTGGAAATTTGTCAGGAAGGTTGTTTTGATGATTTCTAGGTCAAATTCGAAGATGGGTTATCTCCGGTCAAAAACAAGGTCACAGGAGCTAAAAATAGAAAAAGATAGTTAACACTCTTGTGACTGCAGTTTTGATCCAGATATTCATTCAACGTACTATATATATATTTTATAATGTATTGCCGCGGGAGGGCTTTTGTCCGCCCTATTATTTTTACGAGATAGCTTTGTCCGCCGATGACTTTCACGGGAGGGCTTTTGTCCGCCCTGTCATTTTCATGAGAGGGTTTTTTTGTCCGCTCTTTCATCTTCACTGGAGGTCGTTTGTCCGGAAGGGCTTTTGTCCTACACTCATGCTTTGTATAATAAATTGTGTTTGTAAAAATAGAAGTTATACATGTACATATGTACTTGCTTTTGTGGTTTTATTTTCCTAGACAGGACGTTAGTTTACTTGAAAGCTGCATTCATCCAGATGAGCCAAAATTTAAGAAAATCAAACTAGATAGAAAAAGGTACTAAGGTTTTAAGAAAAGTAAAAAGATTCAAGAATTGATTAACATGTTACGTGCGAATAATACTTACTTTCGTAGAATTTATCACCATAATTATTTCGACTGCGTATTTACTAACGCGCAGTTAGGGTTTTTTCTCCCTACTTTGGCCTAGTTTTGTATTGTTTACGTTGATTGTAATTGAGTGCCGTTTACAATGTGTAAATTATTTTATGTGGAGTTGGTAATGGTTAGTTTGTGGGATTTATATGCCACCGCAAATAGCGATTCACCTGTGTGGGTGTGTGCGTGCTTGCGTGCGTGCGTGCGTGTGGGTGCATGTGTGTGTGTGTGTGTGTGTGTGTGTGTGCGTGTGTGTGTGCGTGTGTGTGTGTGTGTGTGTGTTGGTGTGTGTGTGTGTGTGTGTGTGTGTGTGAGTGATTGAGTGATTGAGTGAGTGAGTGAGTGAGTGAGTGAGCGTGTGAGCGTGTGAGTGAGTGAGTGAGTGAGTGAGTGACAGAAAAATAAATAAATAAATAAGCTCCCACTCAAATTTTCTTAAAACGGTCTATGAAATGTATAATCTAAACATTGATAGATTTTCATAAAACGTACTACGCGTCTTTTAGTAAGTCATTGCATTCTATTAACCATACATAAATATTTTGAAAGGCATTTCTTTGCTGATTAAAACTTGTTTAATCTTGAATTCTACTGTCAACACGGCTTAATAGAGCAAAATATAGGTCTTCTAGATAACTTTAGTTAAAGCAAAACCAATTGTCCTTGTGAACATGTACCTAAACCATCTACTTTTAGAAACAAAGCGGTCACGGTATTGACCTTCTTATCTTGAGGTCAGGCTTGTGGACGCTTTTCCTGTGATTTTTTGTAGTGATATTTTCATGAAAGCAGTGAAATCGTGAGGACTCGAGAATGCTCAAACTGTTCGTATGTCTCCTTGCATTGGTTGCCTTCACAGGTAAATTATGTCATTATATGATTCTACTGTGATCAGAACATGCTTGTACGAGTCTAAAAGTCAGCGTTATATAGCTTCTAAAAATATGATTCTCTACTTTCATGTTTTTAAAGGCTGTTTTAAAAGGCCCATTATGCCTCAGAAATGCTTTTATTTTTATTTATATAGTTTTTTATTTATTTTTGTGGGCTTTCATAGTTTCCGAAAAAAAGTTACTCATTGGCCAATCTCCTCAACCATCTATTTTATCTGTTGCTTTTTTGGTAATTATTGCTATATTTAAAGTGATACTATAGCATTTTGTATGGAAGGCAAAGTACCACTTAAATGTCAAATTATCTCACATTTATCGTTTCTTTCGTCAGGTTACAAGCATCTTAATTACATGCTATTAAACCATTATTATAACGTTTGCACAATGTACCTGTAATAAACACAATATGTCTTAATAAAACTGCAATATATATTGCAGTTATTTATTCTGATATGTTAATATTCTCTTTCATGTGAAAGAAACAATTATCCCCGCCGTATGTCCGAAACCCGCCAGGAGATCCTATTCAGCTAACAAACGGAAGTCGGTGGTTCTACTTAGTTGCCTGTCCGGAAGTTATGCGCTCTTGTGTATGGGGCACAGACGTTAATAAACATGTATAGTAAATTTTGAGAGTTGACAACTTACTATTTTTTCGACACTTTACAGTATATCTTACACAACACTTAATTTGTTTTTTTTTCAGATTTAAGTTAATGCATAATTTTCCACAAGTTCATGTGAACTTATTCAAATAAACAATAAAAAAAAATGTCAGATGCAAGTTTTAATTCAATAACAATCTCTCCAGTCAAAGTAATTGTCATTTAACAAAGATTTTTTCCAGTATTAAACGCAACGAACTGATTTGAATAAAATACTTATAATTTCCACGATTTGATAAATTCTTGAAATTCACCAATAGTTGATCTTATATAGTACAGTTGTCTCGATGTTTTTTGTACTCACATCGCTTCAATCGAACATATCATGTCAATTACAACATTTACGAAATCATTAATTTGAACTCTTAGCTTTCCAGTAGCAGCATAATCTACTCATGCAACCAATACAGTTCTTTGTAAGCCAGCACACCATGGTCTGCATTATTTTCCACCAGAAACCATGAATGTTGCATTGCATAACGAAAGCCTATTTAAGACGGATAAAACATTTACTTTAGAGGGATGTATTAGTAGATATGATGACTTTGTCACCTTAAATTTGAAGAGTACTAATTAAATTATTGTCGACCAAAGTCTGTTTTCAACAGCAACTTTCAATTTACATTTTAAACGTACATTCAACGTTCATCATGTCATTGGTTCATAAATAGTTGAAGATTGAAATTGAGGCGTATAATTGTAATTAAAATATACCCATGCCTTTTAGATTCTTTGTAAATTGGTGTAACTGAAGATATAAAGTAATCTGTACCTGTCCAATAGAAATTGCAATAATGCGATATTTCAACACGACCTTATCATAGCTAAAGCATATTCTTCAGATCATGAAAACGATTAGAATAACATAAATGGGTGCAAAACGAAAGAGCGAACAGTAGCGACTTTGTAGTTTTTTAATATCATTAAAAAAATATCATTAAAAAAATCTTATCTTGTGTAACAAAACAATTTTATTGAGTTACAATGCCTCTGGTTCATACTCGTATATAAGCAACTATAATAGTAATATTATTTTGGATGTTAAAAATTACATATATGGTGTCTATTTTACACAAAATCGTAACTTATAGAAAGGGAATATTATGGAACCTCGAAGAAATAATTGAAAAGAACATGTTCATCTTCATCGCGTAACAATTCAAACGTTATCATTTCTTTAGATTAGATTATACATTTATATGTCGAATTATATTTCATGAGTAATTTTCATTGCTAATTAAGTGACCTGTCAAGATAGCCGATATTTTTTTTACATTACTGATTAAACCATTTTAAGTGCATAAGAAATAGGTTATCATGTACTAAATTCACTGGGAACTCAAGTGTTGTCTCACTTATCACTAAAGATAATTGCTTGGCTTGACTTCAAAATACAATGTACATAAAGTTCAGATATTATACACACACACACACACAGCTCCATTTATCTGGTAAAAATTTCAGAGTTAAAATTCTCCACAGAATTTGACGATATAATTTGGTGATGTCAATATAAATACACGCAAAATGCCCATGATTTACAACGTACCTCAAGATAAATACTGCATAATAATCCAGCCACTTGATGTTTTTGAGCAAGCGAGATAGCCAGCGAAATTTCCTGTCATAAAATAGTACAATGTACTTAAGTTTTCTTGAATAGAGACAATGCAATTCATGAGATAATATATATTTAAGCATGTCTTGGAAGCCTACACAAGAGACATCATACCTTGCCATTACACGATCACGTTTTATTAAAATGACAACTCATCGTCGAAAGGTTGGTATCTTGGCTTCAGATTAATATATCTTTGTTTAAAGTTATATTATTTTTATTTCAGAGGCGAAGACCAATTTTAAAGAGCGTCTCCGTGACTTTTTTGTACAAGTCAGCAAAAATGAAACACTTCTTAAAATGTACAGAGAGCACGAACAGCAATATATCGAGGCCAGGGTGTGTTAATATATCGTTTATTTTCATTCAATTCCTCTCAATTTGGGCACCTTTCTAAACATCTACATACACCTAAAACCTTTACTGTCTTACTTGTTCCGCACGATCTGTAAAGATTTTACTTATTATCAGGAGTGTCAAATTATTTCATTATTATTGGTTAGATATTGGTTAATTAAATAAGTATGTTTACAGTATAAAAAAACGGTTGTTGTGTTTGCACATAATGCAGTTAATATTTATATGTTCGTCATATAGACCAAGCAATTGTATGTTTTTGGTTGTTTCAATAAAGATTTGAATTTTGACAAATTGTTCCCTACATATAACCTTTGCGATATTTAGCAGTATTCAGGTTTCATTGATTGTTGAGGATTGTTGGCTTCTTGTGACTCACGATTTCTATAATGAATAAAATATAAAATTACATTGATTTTACAAAAAAAGAAAAAATAAATAATATTACAATCGTTTATGCATTCACCACAAAATTTCATTTTGTTGATTTACAGGAACGATTCATGCATCACAGAAACAGAACTGGAAGAGCGGTGTCAACATTCCAATGTCTTGCTACATACCCACTGAATCTCCAGCCTTCTTCTTCCGGTAAGTTTTTCTTTTTCTTTTCCAAGTGACAATTTTCTTAAAGGGATCGAAAAATAAATAAATGTTGAAGAGCAGTCCCCAAATGGCTAAAGTATATTTTTTATTTTAAATAAAATTGCGAAATTGTCTCTTTGAGTTATAAAAGAGAAAATCCTAATTTATAGTACATTGATGTTATAAAATACGTCTGGTTGGAGCATTTTATTCACTAGTTAGTGTTAAGCAAAACGCTGTGCTGAAGTTTAAAAGCCAGTGCCAGGGGACATGCCGACTAATGAAGTGGCTCAATCAAACCGAGATTTAAGATTTTCTTAGGTATTTATAAAGTTATATTTATAGATTTACTTTTAAATGTTTAAGAAAGTATATGAGAATTTCTAAAAAGAAACATTTTTCTTATTTTAACATTAAAGAGTTTAAGCCACTAAGACAGACCTTTAGGTAAAGACCCTGGATAATGTTGGTATAACTTTTGGCCCAAACCCTTTTGTATCTACACTGTATATATGTTTAAGATAATGATATTAAATCGTGTGAATGTATGATTTACACAAATACAGTACATGTTATATATTAATAAACTTCAAGATTTCCCTTTTGACTGTTTTAACTGCTTCTTTCACACAGTTCATACCTTGAGACCAGAACATGTAAGTGTTGTGGCTGCCATGGGGGACTCATTGACTGTAAGTTTTCTGAAATTCTTATCTTATTTTCATGCATGTTCGGTTTTATATAAGTTGTTAAAACGCAATATTTCATACTCTTACATTTTAAATTTTGCGTTGGGTTGAGTTGTGTTGGTGTATCGGATGGCGTAAGGATTTTATGCAAGACCTACCTCATGATTACCATCTGATGAAATGTCCTTAGTTAAGCTATATTTACTACGCTGAAAATTAAAATAACTCTTTTTCCTCCTTTGAACTTTATTTCTTTAATTTTCAACATAATCCCTTCTTTTACTTTTAACGAACTAAAACGAACTGACTTAACAACACAACACTGCCTTATATATACGACGTATTGCACGTAAAAATCATGAAAATCGTGTAAATATAATTAAACATTAACCCGCCGGTGACAAACCTGGCGGTTACAACAAATATCCGGCGGTAACAACAATTTAGTGCCAAGGCGGCGGCGGCGGATAAAAACAAAATAAACAATAATATTTTCGCGTCCTTCACGACACTGAGCACAAAGCTTTTTGTGTGCAATAATGTGTGCAATCAAAGTATGATCATAGGACATACATATTTTAAACACAACATGCTAGTTTCAGAGGCATGAGATGGAGTCGTACTTATATGTAAAACAGCTTCAGAGGTGTGTTGGATGAATGGCACGTCTATAAGTATAGAAAACACCAGCCGATACTGTTAAAAGACGTCCTAATTCTAGATGTCACAAATTTCCATTTGACTATATTTGCAGGCATCATTTTTTTGTATTTAATATTAAGTATGTTTCAAATTGGAATTTGTTTATTCATATATTATAAGATATTTATTTTTTAGGCTGGTAATGGTATCCTTGGAAACAATATACTCGATTGTTTGACAGAGTATAGAGGTCGCTCTTGGAGGTATACTATGACGTCATTGTAATGTATAGCATGACTTTTACGTATGCCTTGGCAAAACATTTTTTAGGGTTCATTTATTATCTAATATTCATTCTGTCTGACTTATCACCAGCATAAAGCTAATTTTGCTTGCACTCTATCAACAAATGTATACATACCGTTTGTTGTTCAGTTTCGACAAAAGTACTGTATTTAATGGACAGTTGTGACAAGTACATTTCACAACTTAAACTTAAAGGATTTAAGACAATGGTTACTTTCATTGCCGAAATGTTATGTATCTCACTTATACACGGTACCCGAAAATTTTCGTCCGTGATTATCATTTTATTAGCATTCAACTGACAATATTTTCCTTATTGGTCCCGGTCAAAATGACTTAATAAAATCTTAATAAGTGATGAAATGTCCTTAGATTATATAAGCTATATTTACTACGCTGAAAATTAAAATAACTCTTTTTCCTCCTTTGAACTTTATTTCTTTAATTTTCAACATAATTCCTTCTTTTACTTTTAACGAACTAAAACGAACTGACTTAACAACACAACACTGCCTTATATATACGACGTATTGCACGTAAAAATCATGAAAATCGTGTAAATATAATTAAACATTAACCCGCCGGTGACAAACCTGGCGGTTACAACAAATATCCGGCGGTAACAACAATTTAGTGCCAAGGCGGCGGCGGATAGAACAAAATAAACAATAATATTTTCGCGTCCTTCGCGACACTGAGCACAAAGCTTTTTGTGTGCAATAATGTGTGCAATCAAAGTATGATCATAGGACATACATTTTTTAAACAAAACATGCATGTTTCAGAGGCATGAGATGGAGTCGTACTAATATGTAAAACAGCTTCAGAGGTGTGTTGGATGAATGGCACGTCTATATGTATAGAAAACACCAGCCGATACTGTTAAAAGACGTCCTAATTCTAGATGTCACAAATTTCCATTTGACTATATTTGCAGGCATCATTTTTTTTGTAATTAATATTAAGTTTGTTTCAAATTGGAATTTGTTTATTTATAGATTATGTGATTTTTATTTTTTAGGCCGGTAATGGTATCCTTGGAAACAATATACTCGATTGTTTGACAGAGTATAGAGGTCGCTCTTGGAGGTATACTATGACGTCATTGTAATGTATAGCATGACTTTTACGTATGCCTTGGCAAAACATTTTGTAGGGTTCATTTATTATCTAATATTCATTCTGTCTGACTTACTAATCACCAGCATAAAGCTTATATTGCTTGCGCTCTATTAACAAATGTATACGTACCGTTTGTTATTCAGTTTCGACACTCTGGTGTCAAAAGTACTGTATTTAATGGACAGTTGTGACAAGTACATTTCATAACTTAAACTTAAAGGATTTAAGGCAATGGTAACTTTCATTGCCGAAATGTTATGTATCTCACTTATACACGGTACCCGAAAATGTTGGCAAGTCACTTTTCGTCCGTGATAAACAGTTTATTAGCATTTAACTGACAATATTTTCCTTATTGGTCCCGGTCAAAATGACTTAATAAAATCTTAATAAGTGACGGAAAGTGTCGAAGTATACCAAATGATTATATGATTGTCCCGAGCACTCTTTCACTCTATTATTTGAATATTTTGATATCTATATAAAGTGTGTTGTTTATTTATGTAGTATTGGAGGAGACTTAAACTTTGCACAGGGAGTGGAAACCTTACCAAGTAAATACTTTGTACAATATTTTGTACATCTTATACATTTGTATTTATATTTACTATTGATACTGTTTAATTTGCTACAAGTAACTGCTCCACGATTACGTAAAATCGTTTATGATCACACATAGTGAAACCATTGATATCCTAGTCATTTTGGTATTTCATAACTTTAGTTATGCCGCAAATGACTTCTTTCACCAGAAAATTTAAAGGTCTGTAAAAAATATCTAAAACAATTCCATACGACATTTGAATTAAAGGATAATTGATTTAATTCTTCAAAGGTAGGATTGGATTGATCCCGTTGAATTATTCAACATGAAGAAACTGCTATGAAAATCGTTGGTTATTCTAAGGTACCCGTCGGCGTGCCTAAAATAATGCACTGAGCTGCAAATACCGAAATATTGCATTAAGAAGTAGCCTAGTTATGCCATATTTAATAGTAAAAGTTCTTGAAAATCTCTTTCTATATTACTTACATTACACCAGATTTATTTAAATCTCTTTAATTATTTGTCTTCGAATTGCAAGCAGTGATACATGGTGTAAAGTATGTTACACATACAGCATTTTATTTTGTTTAAGATATCTTAAAAGAGTTTAACCCACATCTACATGGCTACTCTCTCGGAAAATGTGATGAGACAAACTATGCTTGTTCACAACTCAATGTCGCCGTCGCCGGAGAAACTTCACAGTAAGTTGTCATAAAAGTACTGCACTATTACAGAATATTTCAAGTCGTATGCCTCTATACGTACCATATGAACAAAATAGAAATAAATTTTGCGTTAAAACACAAGTTACTATGAAATATTTTGATAGAAGTATCATTTACCAAACTTATATAGCGCCCTCCAAAGGCGCTTTACATATTACTAATTAACAGTTAACAGTATGACAAAAATAGCAAGACCGATTTAAAACAATGATCTATCGAAATTTTGAAAACATAAAAATGGAAATGAATTAATTTACTGTCGACATATTAATTTCACTTAGTCACAACAATTGACACATGATATAGGGTCCTATTACTGTACTAAAATAGAATTAATATATGCTGCGAAAGCTTGATAAATATCAATCAATGGCCAGAGTCCTCGGAAAATATAACTGTTTCAGATTATTACTAATAAAAAGCCATTCATAAGCTTGTTTGTAAAAGTGTGTTTTAAGTGCACGATTGACACAATGAACCAGTCAGTGGTTCACACGAATGGTAGATCGTCAGCTGCATAATCAAATCGTCAGTCTCGTGTACATTATGCTTGTATCGCTAATGTTTGGCGGCGAAACCCTTTATGGAATGCATTCAGAATTGGTTAAAGGCCAATCGCAACTTTTCGGCCCTTTCCGTCAGTCTTAGCCGTTGGTTAAAGGGTAATTGTTGTTTATTGGTTTTATTGCTATTTTCTGAGATCGCAGATTCCTTCTTGGTTTATAAACACGTGGCATTTCTTTAATATATTGTGGTGATTGACCGTTCTGTAGATATGCTTTTAAGTCTTAAACTGAATTCTGAATTGCACTGGAAGCTAATGTTTTTCTTTAAGAACATGTGTGATATGATATAGGACCATGATGCGTGCAGTTTTTTTTGAACGATCTGCAGTTTGTTTGTACTCCATACAGTAGTGCATAGCAATAATCTGGGCGCGAGATAACCAATGAAGTCACAAGCTGTTTTGATGCAACAATTGATATATATATTTCTGAATTTTGCCTTTTAGTCGAAGTCTTGGATAACATGATCTACATAAGTACGTACATAAGTATGTTCATGTTTATGAATCAAAGATAACACCTAAAATTCTAACATTAAAATATGGTTTAATTTTCGAGTCACCAACGGTTACAAGTAGATCTTCAATGTGTTTTGAGTTATGTGGAGATGAGAATATGATGACTTCTGTTTTTATTGAGTTTGAGCATGTTTAAAGTCTTCCATGATATAACGTTTTGAAGGCAAGCTTGTGTGCGTTGTAATGTTTCTTGCTTAGAAATGCCATCTGATGGCTTGAATGATAGATAGAGCTTGAGCCATGGGCGTAGACCATGCTCTTTACAAATTCATAGCACCAAGAGGTTGTAGCGTGCATTGTTTTAAATGCACCATAACTCTACCTCCAGGGCGCGGTGCATGTAAAGCAAAAGTTCACGTGTCAATATGATTCGGTGATAGCAACCACGTCGAAATCTTTTGAAAGTATGAAATCACAGATGGACAGGGTTTAATTTTTAACAGATCTTGGGTTGATCCAACAGATACAATGTATTAACTTTGTCTGGCCTTAAACTATAGAAATAGGTGCATATTTTATTGTGGTCAGTGTATTCACTCTGTTATTGTCACTATGTAATAGCGTATACTGTCATTGTGTCTGCAGGTAAATGTTACCTTTGAAATTGCTTCGGATTTGAAAAGATGATTCCATTATTGTTGTCCCAAGATCAAAATATATAATAATCATCCCCTTGGGCACCTTTGTAGTTTAAAAGATTGAGGTTTTCAATATTGTGAATGTGTCTTTTCTAGGTCTTGAATATGTTCTTGGCAATCTAATTAAATCCAATAATTGCTCCCTATTGTATCTGATCAAGCACATTTTATCCTTTGACAACCGTTCACCAATATTTTACATTTATCTTATATGTATGTTGATAATATGCCATTTTCTAAAATCCAAATATCTAGAATTTATAACATTATCAGAGAAATAATTCCACAATCAGTTCCCTTAATAGTCCATAAAGTATATGCTCAAAATCACCTCGAAATGTTCAATGATAAACTCATAAGTATTCAAAAATATCAGAGCACAAAAAATATCAGCCATACCAGGCGCTAATATTATAGTAATTTATTAGAAATAAACATCTTAACGTAAAACACTTGACAGTACCCAAAACTGCCAAGTCATAGTAAAATAGAAAATTCACGATGTATGATATGAATGTGGAATAACGTTTCCTGATAATAGTCAACAAAAGCGACAAAAGTAAAATATTGGATGTCAAAGGGTGAGTCTGACCAGGACCGTGCCGAATACCGTACCGAGGATCATCCGACTGAGTTATCCGGCCGCTTACACATCATCTCCCCTAAATAGTGAACAGTTTTGAACCGTGGAGCTTACTGCGATCGTGCTAACATGTTATTAACTATAACATTTTATAACAGAGATATTAACTATAACATTTTATAACAGGAATATAAACTATAACATTTTATAACAGAGACATCATCTATAACATTTAATAATAGAAATATTAACTATAACATTTTATAACAGAAATATTAACTATAACATTTTATAACAGAGATATTAACTATAACATTTTATAACAGAGATATTAACTATAACATTTTATAACAGAGATATTAACTATAACATTTTATAACAGAGATATGCCAGATCAAGCACGTGACCTAGTTAGTCGTCTCACTAATCCTAACTTCGGCGTTGATTTGATGAACGAATGGAAAGTGATCACAGTGTTCATTGGAGGAAACGACCTTTGCGACATCTGCAATAACTACGTAATCAAGTTTTACATACGAGCATTTACTTTATTGCGACAACTCATGTCGCGACAGCAACTTTACTATGTTATATCCTGCTCTCTTTATTCGATAAATATATGCCCGTTTTAAAGAAAAAATATCATTTCCACTTGTTCTCGTATACCTTTATCAAAGGTTTTAGCTTATACACAATTGTATCATTCTTTTCTTGTAAGTAAGTAAGCAAAATTTGTCATGTTACATAGAACTTATAGTGTTTCTGAACTGTTGCTAGGAAACACAGTAAGGATAGCCTGCACGTGACAAATCCCATACGCCACGTGCAAGGAAATTGCAAAAGACGGTGTGCACCTAAATTTTGACAATACCATGTGAAAGTTTTCTTCTTGCAAGCTTTACTTTTTTTATTCATTTTAATTATGTTTAATCGAGCTTTGGAATAACCAAAATTGTATTGTTTTTGCTTCTGTTTTCATCATATTAAAGATGCTATTTGATTTATCTACCAATAAGTACGTATTAGAAACGATTTTTATTCATTTTAATCACTTGTGAAACAAACAGTGAAAATGTATTAAACGTCAGTTAATATTTGTTTATATATACTTAATCCAGCTTTTATATATTGGATGAGCTTTTATCATTTAGAATATTCATCAACCGTCGAGTTACCTGGCTAAAGTAGAAGAAGCTCTCGATATTCTGCATCAAAATATACCAAAGGCATTCATTAACCTCGTTCAGATCTTCGATATAACACCACTTGCACGAGTTTCACAAGGTTTCTTCTGTAATCTAATTACACAGTAAGTACACGTTCTTTACCTGCCAGTAAATTATTAGAAGATAACAAATCTGGCATCTAGCACCGCTATACATATGATAAGCATAATTATGATAAGAAGGAATATAATGAAATAGCCAATGAAAGAATATCTTTACCTATTACTCGCATTTGGCCAAACTTCTCACAGTGATTTGATTGGCAAAGCTACCAGTGAGCTACGGTCTTAAATTACTGTCTTCGCAAATGTCGATTGACACAAGGCTTTTTTAAATGGAGATAAGGTAAAAAAATGTTTAAGTAACAAAAGTGTCTTCTTTGTGACCAAAAAGAAAAAGAAAAGAACAAAAACAAAACAAAACAAAGACGTTATGCTAATGGCCAGCATTTAATTTGTTTAGGTTTTGCAGTCAGTTTGGAATCGAAACCTTCCACTCATGCTTTAAATTAAGTATTGACTAAAGTCTAGCCTTATACAAGGGTACGATTTATAAAAGTTAAGAAACATCTTTAAGTAACTTACTGGTAATATTCGAAATAAATCTTAATTAGTGTAAATGCAAGTTAATTGGCATTAGTTAATTACTTGATATAGTAAATAACGTTGTTATTACAGAAGTGTATGCGGATGCGCTAAGAATGTAAATAATAATGCCATGCTCCAAGGAGCCTCTCACGAATACCAGGCTGGTTTGCAACGGTTAGTGGATAGTGGAAAATATGATACAAGAGATGACTTCACAGTTGTCCTTCAACCTTTCTTTGAAGATACGGAGCCTGTCAGAGACCACGTAAGATTTATTAGAAACATTACAAACCATGAAGAAACCAGAGCAATGCAAATGCTCGAATGTAATTTTGATTTAAAATTTGTCCGTCGTAATTGCCCCTTATGATACTGTCTGACCTCCAAAGTGGGGGTAGTTTTTGTCCTTAGTGCATGATTCATAAAATATTAGAAGAGATCTACTTGCCTCAAATAAGTTTTCATATATAGAACTCTATACAAAATATGACAGTGTTGTGGCAAATGACACAATGAGAGATTCCCCTCGGTGCTCATGTAAAGATAATCTACAAATCTTTAACTCCAAGGCATATGTATTTCCAGATAAGTACTGAGATTGTTTTCTCAAAAGTTTGTAACCCATTTTCTTAGGCATGAATTAATACTTTTGTAGCAAGCTGGCCATAAATATTAACAGAGGAAAATTTTTAATCTAAGCTTCTATGGACTAAGTTGTAGAAAGTCTTAATTGATATACAAAGTCTATATTAAATGTTATCGTGACATTTACGCATGTGTAATACTTATTTGTGCTACAAGGATGACATGAAATATCATTAGTCTTTTAATTGCACAATTTACAACTGTTCATAAAGGCTAATATTCATGACTGTCAATATTAACATGCATATATTTTCATGTCAAAGTTAAAAAATGGTTACATTCAAAACTAGAAGATAGACCACACCTGGAATTGGAAAATGTGATTTTCTAATAAGAATCAATAACAGGAGCAATTGACTAGGAAGCTGCAAGAACGGACAACAAACATTCAATAATGATACTCTGACTATCCTTATCTTTCAACATTTTAATTTATAAACTATAAATTCATTTAATTTTCAAACGATCAAATTTTGTTTAATCTTTCGCCTGAATGATCTAGCATACTTGCACCAATTTTTCACTATAGTGACCTCGGACTTAAACGCTGCCTGGAATCCTCTGGAACAATGGTATTTTCTAATGCAAATAAATTACTATTATGTATCATGTAAGAAACGGGAAATAATCATATTTTTATATAACGAATAGATACATCTAGCTATTTATAGCTTTCGAATTTATGTAACAGCAGAACTGCTTTCCGGTTCTCATTCATTAATATGACATGTTGCGAATCATCGACGGGGAAACCAATATAGAAATTGAAAGGAGTTCTTGAATGCGGATTTACTTTTAGCTGTTAATCGAAAGGATTTATTGCTCAAATCCGGGTCCCTGGACAAAAAAAAAAATAGTAAACACAAATAGCTCCGCGCCTGTGGGCGCGGAGCAATTATATGACACCGGCGTTGGGTCAATATGGACCCAAAGAGCATGATTCACATCGGTTTGTAATGGTTAATAAGATAATGCTACAAATCTTTAAACTCTAGGCATTGTAGTTTCACAAAATAAGACTGAAATGTGTTTTCTCATACAGGACTAAATAAACTGAGCCGCAGGGGCGGGGCCAATATTGAGCCAAGGGGCATGATTAATACCAGTTTTGTAGAAGCTAGAAGCCAACAATGCAATGCTACATATCAAATATCTAAGCTCTATGGACTAAAGTTTCGAAAGGTCTTTAATGTGTTTCCTATACGAATCTATATTAACTATGTGACCTCCGGGGCGGGACAAATATTGACCCAGGGGCATGGGTAATACCAGTTATTTTGTGGTCCACAATGTGATGTTACATGCAAAATATCTAAGCTCTTGGCATCGAAGTTTCACAACTGTTTTTCATATATAGGTCTATAAATCCTGGGACGGGGTCAATATTGAACCGAGGAGCATGATTTATTTCAGTTTTGTAAAGGTCAAAACGGCAATGTTACATTCTAAATATCTAAGTTCTAGATATTGTAGTCTCACACAATGGAACTTAAATGTGTTTTCTTATATATAAATCAAGTAGACAGGGCCAATTTTGATCTTAGGAAGCTGTAAGACGGACACAAACAATTCAATAACACTGATCTCGTGCCTTTCCTTGTCTTTGCAGACGACTTTCTCCTATTATATAAACAACTAAGAGTTTCCTTTAACTTCTTAGACGATCATTTTGTTTTATCTATTTCAGTCCGGTGGATATGATCTAGCATACTTCGCACCGGATTGTTTCCACTTCAGTGACCTCGGAGCAAACGCTGCCGGAAAATCTCTCTGGAACAACATGGTATTGCTTATATTACAAATTAAGATAGTACTCACTCCTATTGTTTCAATGTAAGAGGAACGTATTGTCAAAATGACGTCATTTCCATTTTCCGTTACATATAAGTTGCGGATATGTATCATTTCCTACTCAAATCTATAAAGAATACCTTTTTGGATAATGGTATAAAATCACTAAATATCAGTTTCTTATTCATTATGAGTCTATAGACTTATAAATACTAGACGCTTGGAGCCTACATCGATTTTCAGAACACTTCGAGTCTTAATTGAAAAGTGGAAACAAACAGAAATTCGTTAAGAAAAAGTATTTTAGTTACAGAAAACTACTACATAGTTCATTTGAATCTTTGTTTGTTTGATTGTGTTTTACGTCACACCAACACTGTATAGGCCATATGGCGACGTTCCAGCTTTACTGGTGGAGGAAGACCTCATGTGCCCTTCCGTGCATTATTTCAGGCACGAACGGGCACCTGAGTAGAAACACCGACGTTCCGTAAGCTAGCTAGATAGCTCCATCACATGAGACAATCCAAAGTTCCTGTCGGGATTCTAACCCACAGCGGTGAAGGGCAAGATTTAATTTTAAAACACTTCAAATGGCATTGTGTTTTGTGACAGTGAATAACTTTCTTTGTCCATAATGTTATCAATTTAGGCAACTAATTAAGCATGGAATGGAGATTTTATCAAAAGATAATTCAAATTCTGTACAGAGCATAAAAATAATAAGGGCTATTTGAACCCAGTTTTTTTCAACTAAAATCTTAACGTAATGTTTATTTAGGTAATCATAGATTGCCAGTAGAAACAGGCAGGTGGCGAAATTGTACACTACCATATGAAGACAGAAAGTGTATGTTATGTTCTCTAAATGACGTGGGTGACGAATTCCACTATCTTCTTAAATGTCCCTTTTTTTACTGATGAAAGAATGAAATATATTCCGAGAAGGTTCTATAATAGGACAAATGTAATCAAATTTAGGGAACTTATGTCCACAGAATCATTAGTGGTCCTTAATAATCTGAGTACTTTCTTACACTTGATAATAATTTTTTCCGAAATACTTGTCCCTAGAGAATATTATTATTCAGTCACTTACCCAGGTATCATATTCATGTTTAAATCCATGTTTGTTTTCGCCGTTGTAATCTCAAGCAGACGGTTTTTTTGTTATTTATTTTTGATAATACAGTTCACTATCGTTCGTACTTATTTACTATTGTCATTTAATGTTTATTTATTTTCTCTATCACTTAAATACCATGTAGCATGTAATATCTATTGTTACCGTTTCTAAAATATCCCAGTCAATGACATACGTTTTCCACTATGTTTTTCTCGTGGTATAATTCTCCCAACATATCCACTAGTCAATGAAATACCTTTCCTGATCACGATTTCCACGTGATCCAATTCTCGTAACATTATTTTGTTTTCTTATCACGCTTTACCCGTGCGTACCCCAATTCTCCCAACGTGCCTATTCACCATTTAAATTACAGATAATGATATTAACAAGGTCTACATAGTTTTAAATATTGTGTTAAATTGATTGACATGTTATTTACTTATTAACTTTGTATTTATCTGTCCCCATCTATTTACCCATATTTCAATATTAAACAAAATGAATCATGCTATTACATGTCTGTGATCTGATATTAATAAAAAGTAATTGTTGTTGTTGTTGTTTAACCTCGGCATAATTTAATATGCAGATTGAACCAGTTGGATCAAAGAAGCGAGAATGGCATCTGAATGAAGCTTTCCATTGTCCACACACTAACGTACGTATATTTTCTTTCGTAAAAAGTCGGTAAACTTTCCGTGTCTTTGAAAATAAGGCTGGCAGAACAAAGGAGAAACACACCGTTCCTTTTTAACTTGTATATCCAGCAGAATTTTGTTAAATTTTAGCAAGTTTTGACACCTTCTGCGTCTTTTTATTTAGATAAAAGTGTTCATCAGGCCTTTTATCATCAAACTAAGTTCTAGTAGTCACCTCACTTCATCCTTAGACTTTCAAAAAAGTCTTTCTGCTTGAAAGACCCCGTCTCCAACCCGCACCTTACTTATAAATATAAGATGCAAAATAAGCCAAAATCATATATGAAATTCGTTTTGATGAATACCTTTCTTATAATCAATTGCATAAAAATAATATGACGGTTTTTAAATATTTATTTAACTATTTTACTATCTTAGGAGGCAGTTTGCCTTCCTCAATATAAACATTTTTCTCCGTTTAAGTTCAAAATATATTTTAAAAAAAACACATATTTTGTAATCTTGCAATTTGGACAGTGAAAAGTCAAATTTAATTCTGTTTATTTATGTCAAAGAATTTCTCTCTCTTTTTTCCCCAAAATATTAAGTATAACTATGTTTGATCGAACTGAAATAAAGTTTACTTATTTAAAAACCAAAACAACAAAAAAAAACCTTATTTACCCTCTCTGTGCTACAATTATTTGTTTGTGCATTTTAAGTTAGAACCGATTTCAAGACCATATTTATAGAGAATATGTCCGGATGTGCAGCCTGGCTTGACACTGTGGTGGTTTTATTTTCTACAAATATATTTATTGATACTTCTCCTGGTCATGTGTCAATTCTGATTCAATGCTATATGGTAGTACAGCCGTGTTGAAATCCATAAACACTGTTCCTGCTCGTTTAATGAGCAATATTTACTAGTACTTGTGCAATATACTTTCATTTTCCATCAAACTAACTTTTTTATTTATTTATACATTTTAGGAACATAGTACATGATACAAAATATAAAATCATACAGTTAAGAGATAACATATATAAATCACATATATAAAATGAGAGACTTACATTACATAAAACTATATCTTCCGAGAACTGTACTATTAATGCTGTAAAATTGGCATTTTGTTGTTTGTTTTTCTATGTTTTTATTCACAACGTATTTTGGATTTGTATAGACATTGTATGAACAAGTTTAAAGTTGAATAAATTGTTGTATTCGTATTCAAATTGCCGTTTTAAAGAAGAGCTTTGTCTGCATGCGTACTAAACGTATTAATATTTTTTGTAACATATTCGGAAATCGCCCTTCAAGTACTTTGATTTATCTGGTGACATAGAGGTGACATTTGCAATATTTTTTCCATCGTCTTACTTTACGACTGTTTTCTTTTTAAAATATAGTATTAATTTTATGCCAATAGATTATAGAATCTGCTTAAGTTTGTCAATTGCATATACATGTACAATACAAAAAAAAAAGAGTACAACTACGCATTTTCCAGCTGGCGGGACTTAAGGAAAATTAATATTAATTTCACAGTTTGTCGTGAAGTTGAATTTTCGCGTTTCTGTTGACTTAAAATAACGTATTTGTACATGATATATATGTTTTTGTTTTATTTTGTTTATAGTTTCAAGCAGATAGTGTGTTTAGGACAAAGAAAAACTAGGACAATACTGTTCCAAGCGGATGGATGTAGATTTGTTATATGAAATGATAAATATCAATAAATTATACATACACAAATAATTGTTTGTATTAGAGCTGTTACCGAACTCTTTTAAACCTTTTTCTAGTGCAAGATTTTACAATCAACTGAAAAGCGAAGTAACAATGAAAATGTGTTTCTGTCAATTACAAAGAACGTGTTTTCCTTAAAAAATGATTTGCGTTAGCAATGCATTTTAATGTGGTTTATAAACAGTGATTTAATTGGCTACGCGCACACAGTTCACGTGACCTATAACTGAAGGCTTATAAAACTACGCCAAAGAAAATTGTTTCAGTCGAAAATGTCTTTTTTATGTAAAAATACAATCACTATTTTGGCTTTAATGGAAAGAATTAAACCATACTTATGTATAAATAGAATGAAAAATAGTAGGAGTTTCATACATAAATTGCTACACCCCCGTTATAATTGAAATTGGCTATGATTAGAAACCTCAAAAACTAAGTTTCAATTATAATTATTATTAAAAAGCATTAAAAATACAAATATTCATGAATTCAGTATCTGTCGACGAGTCTTGTTTTATATATTTTATTATGCTGATGAAATATATTATGTTAATTCTTTAGATTTCGACATTCAGTCTTTTTCCAGAAAGATAAAACAACATATATCGGACTATAACATTACTTATTAAAGATGTATCTGTCAAATAAAAACAGCGTGACTATAGCAAGTATCTAAATTGAATATTCTGACCCTCGGGGGAAATTGATGGACAGGAATGGTCATTTAAATTTGAATTTAAACTTACTTCCTTCTTACATATTTGACACAAAACGTATAAGGCTTCTGAAGTTCACAATAAATGGATTGATAAAGGTAATTTAAGTTTTTTTATTTTAAACAATTATTTTTTTAACTTAAAAAAACACAACAGTTTTGATACCATTTAATGAAGTATTACGCAGCAATTTCATAAAATATGTAATTAACTAGTAGGTCATTCTAAGTTTTATTGTTGTATGATTTTCTATATGTTTTTATCAATTTAAATGTCCGCACGTACGTCTTTTTAGCAGATATCTAATGGGTGCTTTTGGAATCTTAAAAAATATTATTTCTATTATCAAAGGTCAATATATCAATGCGTGTAAAAATTTCACTATTTTAATTTGAATAATCCATCAATTAATTATTTCATTTATTTTCAATAGTTAAGGAACCGTCAATATAGTTGCAACATGCATCATAAGTGTAGACTATTGGTTATAAAGATTTTTGCTCTTTATAATTCGCACGTTTGTAAAGTCGCTTTTTAATGGATAATCGTGACGTTTATATTATAGGGTTAACGCACGTTTTTCCGTGTTATAACGTCTGCAGAGTCCCGAGGAACGGTTGGTGCCCGAGCCCGGTAGGGCGAGGGCTCCAACAGTTCCGAGGGACTCTGCAGACTTTATAACACGAAATAAACGTGCGCGCGTTGACGCTATTATAGCATAAAAATTTAAAACAGATTCATGATGTATATTATATATAAAACACAAACATTAAATCCTTGTGCTTGAACGGTATTTATCCAACTCTACATGTTTTACGTATGCGTTTTATTTTTTCCGGGGCCAACAACTTGAGAACCGAACGAAATTTCGAATTTTAATTGATTTAACAAAGTTTAACTTTGGAGATATATTAACTTAAGAAAAACATAACATTACTCTACCAAAGACAAAACAGGCGCCTCAGAAGTTCCTAGAATAGTTACAGATTGGCGGTAGGAAAAAGATCAGTGACATCAGATTCAATTTAATTTCAGAATCGGTGTTTTAAGCACGCAAGTTTAAAAAAAATCAGGCATAAAACATTATTCTCTCAAAGAAACATAATGAACATTTATCAATAAAAACGTCAATAAAACAACGTTTCCTTATATTCATTTTGTGCTTTCCATTTTTGTAATTTAATCGGGGGATTAAACTGAATGACAGATTCTATTTGTTTACATTGACAACTGTCCGTTTCTAAGAAAGGGCGACAACCAAGATAAGCGGCGATGTCTTTACGCCGTATTGCCGGCATAATTACTCGAATATGCGACTGAGGCCCTCGAATTAATAATTCCAATATAACAAGAGCGCATGACTCTGGCAAACAGGCCAAATCGTCATTTTTGTTTGTTTTCTGGGCCCTGCATGTATTGCGCATAGGTAAAACCGGGCTATAACAAGAGCGCGTGACTATGTTAACGCATGGTTTTGGCCCCGTTATAACATGGGCAAAAGAGGGAAAAATAGCCGATTTTATGCTATAATATATTCTAAAGTTTGTTGACAGGTTATATGGCCCTATATAAACGGCTATTTGTAAATATAACCCGAGCCGCTAGGTGAGGTTTATATTGCAAACAGCCGTTTATATACGGTCATTTAACCTGTCAGCAATTTTTATAACGAATTTATAGTACAGCAAGAAACATTTTTTAGAGAAAAAAGTAAGATTTCTTTATGAATCGACAACAGCCGTGTATATAAAACTATATAAACGTCACGATTATCCAATGAAAAGCGACGTTACAAACGTGCAGTATTATAAAGTTTTATTAACTTTAAGGAATATACATGTATATCCTAAATTGCTTCGATTGTATAAAGATGAACATAAATACATATACTATTCATACATTAACTTTGATAATTTTGACGAAGAGACATTCACATTTTTAATTTATTCCATTTCAGATGTTTGGAAATAAAAGGTTCATACTTTTTTTCTTTACATTTGCATGTGTTCTTAGCTCGTGTCAATCTGTAGATTGTGATATGGATGATTCTGAAGATACAGGCACGTGCTATTCACGTGATCAAAATTCCGAACAAGAACTGACCTTCATTAAAATGGAAGATATTCGACACCAGCAGTCGTGGTTTTCAGGTATTTATTATACAATAGTCGACGCTTTTGACATTTTAAAGGACAAATTAGTGCAATCCAAATTACCAGAACCAACTCAGCGCAAGAAGTCAGAGGAAAATAGATTTAAGACGGAAAACCTTGATGAAATGATGGTTGCAGCTAGAGAAATGGCAGAAGAATTCTTTGCGGGTGATGAACTTCATATGGCAACGTTAAATGATGCATTAAAGGAGATAAAACTTTCTGAAGAGGGAACAGACATCAAAAAAGGCAAAGGCGAGTATGAATATCCACCGGTTTACAGAATAGATCCCGGGAATGTTGGCGATGTCCAAACTGTAGAAATAGACGAGGGTGTGCAAACAAAACTAATCACGAAAGCAACACGTCCTCCTGTATTTGAAATACCAAACTTTCTTTCTGACAAGGACTGTGATTATATAATTGAAAAATCCAGAGAGAAGGGGTTAAATAAGAGTTCTATGTTTGGATCTAAAGACGAAACAGAAACTGGGAGACATTTCGGAACATTTCGAGAAAGTTTTTCATCTTATCTAAAGCAAGCAGATGTTGGGGAAGAATTTCTAAGCAGATTACATGACAGGGTGGCAAAGTTGCTCAGGTTGCCCAAGAGAATTGTTCAATGGAGTGAAAATCTAGCCATTGGAATGTACAAACCAGGGGGACACTATCATGCTCACCAAGACTCGAATGAAGCTAGTAGAGGTATTCCCTGCTGTTTCCAGAAAGAATGTTTTGATTCAAATGGAACGAAGACTACATTTACAGAGTGTTGTAGATTATGCAGATATGTGACTGTTTTGTATTACCTTAGCGACGTTGAAGAGGGTGGAGAGACGGCATTTCCATTCGCCGATCTCTCGTACGGAGATATGGTAAAGAAAGGGAACACCGATTGGCGGAATCTCACTTCAAACTGCCATTCTGCATCAGCTGTAATAAAGCCTGAAAAAGGAAAGGCGATTATATGGTATAATCACCCTTTAGACAGTAGGGGATATATATCATCCGTAGAAAAGCGCAGCTATCATGGGGGATGTGAGGTTATTAAAGGAACTAAATGGATAGCTACGAATTGGATTTCAACGCCGCCGTATTCTGAAAGATTTATTCCAAGCAAACATCGAGATATTATTTAAATCGTGCTACAATTTAATGAAGTGTTTATATATTAATTTATTATTATTCTATTTGTATTCTATTTGTAAACAAACAGACCATATAATATTACTATTATTACATGTTTAATTCATCCATTAGTTTCAACGATGAAAAACAATGCACATCATTGATGAAATGAAATTATTTGTGTTATACAATTTATAAAATAATGCACACTGATAAATGGTTTATTTTTATTTACATATTCATAGTTTACTACCCACTTACTATAGCAGTCCTTAATTGTGAATTACTCCAGTAGATATAAGTTTAAACATGGTTTTTTAAACCTTGAATATAAAGAAAACCTGTAGCATATTTAAATCATTGTGCTCCCTAAAACTAACAAGTATTTGAATCAAACGAGGAAACATTGATGCTGAAACGCACAATACTTGAGTTAAGAAGCAAACAATTGAACCACTAGGTCACCGCTTTTACAGTAGATATTACATGATACAAGATAGAAAACATTTTAAGTAACTTATAATCGTACATGTATCATCCGGTCTTAATCTAATTGTGTTACCGTATATGATAAAAATAGTGACAGTTGATTTTCAATATTAAAGTATAATTAAATTTGTGCAAGCACCAGAAGTTGTCTACTATTCACAGATTTTGATAAGAGTCTATTCTGCTAGACTCCATTCTGTGAAACTGTGGATAATGATCTCGGACATAATAATATGAATTCAAAGAATGTTAAAAATAGTTTGGTCTAATCTATAGTTGTTTATCAATGGGTATTCTTAAATTTATTTTGGATTTTCAAACATATTTTTCAATAATAATGCCACAATGCATGGCAAAAAAAAATCACATCACATGTGAACCATATGTGGATATGTGTTCCATATCCAACCGTAAAAACGCTTTATAACTGAGAATTTCTACTTTGCTTAGTACAAAATATGTTGGTTGTTTACAAGCATTGTAATAACAGATAAAAGGATGAACTGGTTCAAAAGTTAACTTTTGTGTACTAAATTGATTTTAATTTATAAATTTTAAAAAAAGGTTTTTCATATGCATGATAATAAATGATCGTTTTCGTAAATGCAACACAACCTCGCTACAACAGCAAGCATCCGTAAAGTCCCAACTTTTGCCTCACGGATGAAACCTTTGTTTTGTAGAGACATAACAAATTTGTAATATGAAACGTTTTAAGTGGTTTACATATGTTTATAGGCATTCATTACTTAAAAAACTGTAGATGTTGTCAGACAAACATAGTTGATCATAAAAACCCTCATGACTTTTATATTCATATAGGCTGAGGGGCGTTCGTGGCCGAGTGGTCAAGGTCGTTGACTTCAAACCACTTGCTCCTCACCTCTGTGGGTTCGAATCTCGACAGGAACTTTAGATTCTTTCATGTTAGGAAGCTATCCAGCTAGCTTACGGAACGTCGGTGGTTCCACTAAGGTACCCGGTCGTGCCTAAAATAATGCACGGAAGGGCACCTGAGGTCTTCCTTTCACCAGTAAAGCTGGAACGTCGCGATATAATCTATACTGTGTCGATGTGACGTAAAACCCAAAAAACAAACAAACAAATTCATAACTGTCTAAAGCAAACGCAAACATATTGTCTTACAACGTTTACTCTATTCATTCATATTTCGTTTTACATTGTATTGGTTTAATTATAAATAACATCAGGAAAATCCGATACTGAGCAGTACGAGCCACCGATACTGAGCAGTACGAGCCAGTCAAAAGGTTTGCTGGCCGTGTGAGAGGTATTATTTTCCTTTGTGAGGAAAAATAAGTGGCTGTTGGCCGGAGTTGAGAGTTGACCGTTGCTAACAGTTAAATTACATAATGAAAACTACCGAGGGAATTGAAACTGGCTTCTGTAAGGAGCTGGTTGTTAATGAGAGGTGACCGTGAGGGAAGGCTGCGACAAGAGTAGCGTTCTCTGTTAATATTCATGTTACTTATAATGTAAAAATAACACGTTCTGACTTTGTTTTACAGTAAGGTCACGTTGCAGAACTTATATCATTTAGATGATTTTAATGTTCAAAATGCCAAAACTGTTTTTTTTCTAGAGGGGCCAATATGAGTTTCTGGTGTTGACTACATGTAGAACATTTTTATACCAGAAAGCATTTAGCAAATTATAATATTAAATTTTAACGCTCGCGGTAGTCTAATAATTAACTGACTTGATTTGTATGAATCATGTAAACAAATAGTAATTTAATGCTGGAAGTTGTTGAAAAGTTTATTTCAAATATTTGTTGTAAAAGTCCACCTAAAATAAGTGAATTCAAAACTACAAAAGAAAACAATACATTATTTCTATATTTATTATTATAGTTGTAGAAATCGAAAGTACAAAAAACCAACCTGTTGACATTTAGTCGGATTTGTTTAAAATTGTACATCAGTTGGCATATCTAAATTACAAATTGTTGTCAGACATATTTGCATTCATAAGTGTATCGAGACAGACTTTACTTTTCTTTTGGATGTCAAATTTATACATCGGTTTAACATGTTTACATCTGAAATCAGGTGGTAGAACTACTTTCAATCCGTATTGTTTCCGAGGTTATTATAGATAATAGCCGAGGCAGTTCCGAATGGCATAATGGACGACAATTTGACAGCCAATGTAAATATTGAAAAGTTAGTTATTTCCTTCAATGTTGCAGGTTTTAATGAAAAATTTCTACAATAACTTTGGTTGAATAGAGGATATTTTATACAGTTTACACGTGTGAATGCATTTTACGAACGCGTGCTGGTAATGCGAGGCCACGACTTGTATCCCTTGTTTATATTATATATGTAGATTTAATAAAATAAGGACAGATTTCCCTGTGGACATCACATGACAATCTGATTAAATTCAGCTCAATATAACGCTCCGCTTGTAGATTTGACCGTGACCGTATACGAAATTATTTCCGGCGACTATTCACACTTGAAAGCAATGTGGTTTCTTATTTTAACCCTGGGAAAACCAATACTAAGTAGGAGATTTTCACGATTTCAAGAACAAACATGGCGTTTTCTAAATAGCCAACAGGTAAACTGGCAAAACAATCTCGCCTTTTAAAATTGACTATTTTTTCAAGTCATTTGTTAAAAATTACTTCAAACATTTTTTCCAACAGGAATCAACAATTTTTGTTTAACTTCCACGTATAACGGTATTTTGATACTTCTTTTAATGCCTATGTAAAAACCAGTTTATAATAGCTTTCTAGGGAAATCCGAATTATAAAGAAGACGAAACATATACGGTCGTCATCAGATATACAAATTGCATTACATGACAACAAACAACGTAATGGGAAAAACAATCTATTGATTATTGAATCAAATAATCTGTATTTTTTGCTTTACGAAGAAACTGTGGTTGAAAGTGAAAGTCCTCCACAGTGTGCATGCTGCTCCCCGGGTTTAGGTGTCTCGTGGAAATATAGAGCTAGATTCTGGAATCTGAAATGTTATATAACGACTGCTCATTGCTATATAGTCTTGGAGGCCATCGGTTGAAATTTATATTTACACGTATCTGATTCATTTACATTCATAATCTTTTTAAACTTGCTTAGTGCAGGTTAATTTGTTTAGAAATAACCAAATATGAAATTGTATTATTAAGATGTATGTAAAGAAACCGATTGAACATAATTCTATTAAGTTTATAAAAGGAGGAAATTTTCCAAAAAAAAATATCTAAAAATAGATACATAACATGCTGTTCTAATTCAAATTTCAAAGATAAAAATATACTAGAGTATGTGTTAAAGTGATACAGACGACATACCCATGACAAACGAGGGGACATCCAAAGTGCATCACATTGCCTTCTGCTAACAGTTTGTGACACTCGCTCTCGCATGCTTGTTCTGTTGGATCAGTGCCAAGTGTATCAAGCATAATTTGCACGTCACATTTTAGCATTTCAACATCAACTAAAGAAAATGGCATAGTTATTTAACAAGAAAGAAAATACAAAACAAAACACAAAAGCAAACAAACAAAATGAAAACACAAAGTAAGCAAATACCGACAATATAAAGATACAACTCTGAGTCCAAATATAGCTTATAACCAACATATATCTTAATCTAATTATATGTTATTTGTTAAATAGAAACGTGAGATTTTTACAATTTGTGTTTTATACTGTAGTGATGATGTACTATATACAAATCCAAAATAAAAAATCTGTTCTGTTTTGTTCTTATTTCTCGTAGCTAAAGTAAATTACATATATAATGCATTTCAAGAGCTTTTTGCACTCAAAGAATACAGTTTAAACGTATTTCATTCTAGATAACGAACAATCATTTTGAAATATAAAGGCTATTACACGGATTTTAATTTTCTTAAACTTTAACACTAAACCCCCAAATGATTCTACCCAGGCGACCAGTGCTGACCAAAGTCATCCGGCTCGTCCTTACCATCTGATTTTGGTCTTTAGTTTACTTTTTGTTATTCAGTAAGAATACCATATAATATGTTTCTAAAATGATAAATCTCTATGTCCAGATCAAAAGAATGGACAAATGAAGATATTGAGCGTCCTAATGTTTAATTAGGAATACTAATTTATACAAACAAGGTAACTTACACGGGTTTTGAATCTGGAAATTGCCGAAAAGTAGCCTTTTGGTATCTGAAACAATAACATATCTATCATGTCAATTCATGTCATTTACCTTGTTTCAGCTGCTCTAATCTAACATACTTTACTCTCGGAGGCTAATTTATTTATTATCATCAAGACTATTCAACTTCCATGAAAGGGGTAGGTGTCAAACCTTCATATTAAACTTTTGATCCAATTTTTGGTATGTATATTTAGTTATGATGCATTAAGAATAACGATACATTTGTAAATGTGTATTTCCGTGCAGTCAGACCATGTAAATCAACTAACTACACTAATCATATACCTACAGAATCAAGCGTGACGTTTTAGGTGATAAAATCATAAAATGTTATTATAATAAGTTAAATATCATCCAAATAATAATTCAAGAGTTCGTTTGGAATCATTATAATAATGAGCCGTGTCACGACAAAACAAACATAAAGCGTTTGCGACCAGCATGAATCCAGACCAGCCTGTGCATCCGCGCAGTCTGATCAGGATCCATGCTGTTCGCTTACAAACTCTATAACAAGTACAGAAACTGATAGCGAACAGCATGGATCCTGATCAGACTGCGCGGATGCGCAGGCTGGTCTGGATCTATGCTGGTCGCAAACCCATTATGTTGGTTTTGTCGTGACACGGCTAATATCTATGATTAATTTGTCTCACCTGAAGGAGCGGCAAGAGCAGCTGGGAGGAGCAGGCAAACGAGGAGGAGCTTCATATTGTTCTGTTGCCATGGTAATATAAAATAAAAGTTTTACAATGCACACGTATATAAGTATATAGATTGAACAGACATGGTGAAAGGTCAGAAAGTGTTTCTATCCAACAGTCAATTAAAAATGAAAAATATAATTATGCCGACCCAAACGAAAAGTTTCTTAATGATTCAGATTGTAAATGTATTTTCTGTTCCATTTAAGATCGATTTTAATCAAGTCAAAGTGTAAAGGTCAAATTCAGCTCTGTAGATTTTTTTTCAGGCGAACAATGTATCTACAATGTGTAGAATCACACACTAACCGTATGCTAGAAGGAACACACAAACGCGCCAACATATTCTAGATGGCAACGATCAACGAGAACCCAATTTCTTTGTTATTCTGTATACCGTATATAATTGACTTAAATAAAATTGTGAATTAAGCAGCAGTTACAAAATTGAAAACTGCTTACTGTCTTTTTAACCTACACTTATTTTATTTAAAGAGAATTTATGTCTTACCTGGTCGTCAAGTACAACTGAATAATCACGATGAGAAACTTGACTTTTATAGCAATTATTAGCCTAGCATTAGTGATAACCTTAAAAACCCTTGACATAAGATAGCTAACAAATTAGATCACCATTCACGACGTCAGATAATGATACCTTATTGACGCCATGCAGTGATCTAAATCTTAAACTTAATATGAAATTAGGAGATGAAAGAAAATGAAAAGTGAAAATTGCAGACTTGGTTTTATTAAGATTGTGTAAGAAGGAAAGCGTAGCATCTCTTAACCCCATCCTTCCCAGCACCGAGTAGTAATACTCAGTTTTCCACACTTAAAATTAATGATTTCGACGCGATAAAAACATGTTGTCACATTGAGGTGAAGTGAATGCGTCTGTTTCAGCTGCAAATTATATTACATTTACTGTACAAGAAAAGCATTGATGCAAAGCATCAAAGGGCGTCCAAGCAAGAAATGCAGCAGGTGAAGATGAACTAGTAAATATATGATGACAAGATATTCTTATAAACTTTTCAATGGTGAATTGGTTTTACCAGAATTGTATATCACTTATGAATGAACGGACGAAAGACTTTGTTCATTATTAACTTTGATTGGCATGCTAGAGATAGGAATATTACTTGTTATTTCTTTATGATCGTGGTTATTAATAGCACCGGATACACATGTATTTAATCATTTATAATCCATATGTGTAACGCATGATCAACACCACACAAGCTTGTGTAATTATCCCTTATAATATGAAGACCCCCTCTTAAGGTATCTGTTCACACTTAGTAAAAATATGACACTGGTTATAGAACAGAACAGAACAGAAAATTTTTTTGAATCTAACTTGAACATTTACTGTTCATCGTTACATACAACAAATTTTACATGCACATAGTAATAATGTAAATATCATATTATAATCATGCAAACAACTTTACATATTTCATCAGATCATTACAAAGAATTTAATTCATTTGTTCTTAATTTAAAAGCATTTCTGCAAAACAGAGCCAATTTGTTTAAGACCTTTACATTTGTAGAATTCAACAATTGTGTGAGTTTGAGCATACTCGGGTGTCTATGATAATACCTAGGAATATACTGATTTCTAAGTAAAGCATACATTGGACATATTAAAATAAAATGGTATTCGTCTTCAATATCATTACATTGGCACAGTGTACATTTTCTATCGTTTCTATCTATATTTCTATGTCTACCAGTTTCAATATGTAGGTCATGTGAAGATAAACGTATTTTAGCTAAAACATTTCTTAAACTACGACATTTCATTTTATTTATATATTCGGACATTTCAAAATGTGGCTTTAATTCTTTAAATAAAAACAAAGATGACTTTGAACAAATATCTTGTCTCCAATTATTTATATACATGTTAATAATTCTAGTACGAAAAAAAAGGAACAAACATATTAATATTTACCGAAGAAGGATACATCCATACTTCATGAAAACCAGTGTTTTGTAGTAAATCTCGGACTTGACATGCCCAGTTACAATTTTCAGCTTCATATCTTAAAGCGTTCATTGTGCTTGATAAAAAACAGTTATATTCCTTTTCAACATACAACTTTAGGAAATATTTAACAATTCTAACTTGTCTAACTACATATAATGGATATCTACCCAATTCACCATATAATGCAGAATTAGCAGTAGACATTGTAACATTGAGTATCCATTTCATGAATTTTCTATGTATTCGTTCAATATTTTCTGCTTTTTCAAACCCCCATACTTCACAAGAATAATTCAATATAGATGCAACATATGAATCGAATAAATTTAACATAATATTTACAAGAACTTCAATGCATTTTGTAATACTAAATAATGAGCCCATAGCTTTAAGAGCTTTATCAGCTAATGTTTTTGTTGCTGTCTTAAAAGATCCACCACTAGATAACACAATACCTAAGTAATTAAAACTTGAAACAATTCCAATACATCCCCGTCGTAATAAATATGTTCATTTACATTGGTCATTCCACCTTTTTTAAATACAAGAACCTTCGTTTTATTAACATTTACTTTTAATTGCCATTTATTACAATAGTCTTTTAAATTATGTAATGAAGTTTGAAGCCCATGCGCCGTCTCTGAGAAAATGACTGCATCGTCGGCAAAAAGTAGTAGGTATATAAAAAGTTGATCTAATGTCAAACAAGAACTATCATCTTTTTGTAAAAACAACTCAATATCATTTACGAATAATGAGAAAAGTATCGGAGAAATTATCTCCCCTTGCAATAATCCAACATCACATTTGAAAAAATCTGACAAGGAATCCATTTGACGTACACATAATTTAACATCTTCATACAGAGACCTTATTACACAAAATAAGCGTCCATTTACACCATATTTTATCAATTTTACCCATAAGGCATTTCTGTAAATAGAATCAAAGCATTTCATAAGATCAACAAAACAGCAATATAATTTGTTTTAATTGTCGTTCTATAAAAGCATGAAGGAGAAATATAGCGTCTACTGTGCTATAGTTACATTTAAAACCAAATTGTGCATCAGTGAGTATATCATTAATATCAGCCCACTTTTTTAAACGCTCATTAATAACAACAGTAAATAATTTTGCAAAACAGCTGATTAGTGTTATACCTCTATAATTAGTAGGTTCACTAGAATCGCCTTTTTTAAAAACAGGTATAACAACTCCCTGTGACCATGATTTGGGAAAACAACCCGTATCTAAAATATGATTGAACAATATTTCTAAAGGTTTGTCTAAAATATCTATACCTTCTTTAATATACTCGTACATAATGTGGTCAAAAGAGCTAGCTTTATTTGTTCCTAGTTTTTTGATAGCTTTTCTTTTTTCATCAGTCGTAAAAGGTACATCAAGCTCCTCAAAAGTAGAGTTAAAATTTGCATTTTCATCAAAAATATGTAAAAAATCTTCAATTTCGTCATCTTCCGCAACAGAAAATTCAGATGCTAAATTCTTAAAATGATTATAGAAATCATCTAAATCAATTTTTTTCATCAGACACGGTTGATTTACTTTGACGAAACATCCTCCAAAAATCTTTTGGCTTTTTGTTTCTCAATTCATTCATTTTTTGCAGCTTGTTTTCTGTCAAAGTTCCGTTTTACTTTTCTACAATGATATTTATAATCCTTCTTTTTTAAATATGATAATTCTCTATTTTCTACAGATTTGTTAGCATTAAATTCTATTACAGCATTTTTATATACAGTATACTTTTGTTTACAGCTTTCATCGAACCATTTATTCGTTTTATTATCGCTGAAACATGCGTTAACAGTTGCCTTAATTACAACAAGTTTCAAAATACGCATTACCTCTTTCAGATAAATATGCTGTAAAAATATTAACAATTTCATCTGGATCCTGGTTATTTTGCTTGGATTCATTTAAGTTTTGACAAAGCATTTCTATGTCTCGCGAAATATCGTTTACAAATTCCGTCCTATATTCGGAATATATTACCATGTTGATCATGTTGAGCATAATTGTTTATTATACAATAATTGTAATATCTATTTTAATAAAAAAATTACAGATTTTATGAATATTGTTTTCTTTTCTTTCTTGTGTTTTATGTGCTATTCTAATACTGAGTTTTTACGTTTACTACTATTTTAAAAATTCAATTGTCATATTGACCGACGATTATAAGTCAAAACTTAACTGGAAAAAGTCAGTAAATTATGGTTAATCTTTCAATATATATATCTTTTATTAAGTAGTAAGCCATTTATGGCCCATGTACATGCAGCAATATAACATTCAATGTTGAAAACAATATGTAATTATATAGGTGTTAACAATATTGTACTGGATATACATGTAGGTAATCATATATCAATGACAGATTTATTTTTACATTTCATTTCTATACTAACATACATTTAGGGAGAGACAAAGCATCTATTTATAGAAAACAAAATGAAATTCACCCTCTAGTACATTGCAAAATTTACACTTTCTTTGTTCAATTGGTGTGCTTATAGGTTTTCTCCATCTACCTGTTTCAATTTCTAACCTATGGGATGACATTCTCTATCTAGACATTGCCTTTCTATATTTTTCTACATTTAAAACATTTAAGTAATTCTGAAAATTAAAACTAGAAATTGTTCTGTAAAATAATGCTCTTGATGATTCCTGTAAACTTGCATTCCAGTCCTGTTGGTATATATCGTACAATCGTGTCTTTAAAATATTCAAAAATATATTGACATCACCAACTCCTTGGTTTAACCAAACATCATAAAATCCTAATCTAGATAATAACCTTTTTACATTGTATACCCAACCTATATGAATTAGGATGGGATTCAAGATCACTTTTTAAAACATTGTACATTTTCTTTTGCATATTTAACATCATCACTTTGACATAACTTTAACCAGTACCGTATTATATGTAAATATCTATGAGTAATATAAGAGACTCTTCCGGTTTCACCATAAACAAATGCATTTTTGACAACTTATTTTAAACACCTAATAATCT